CTTCAGCTCAGGTCATGATCCCAGGGTCCTGGGATCGAGTCCTGCATCGGGCTCCCTGCTCAGTGGGGAGCCTGCTTCTCCCTCTCCCTCTACCTGCTGCTCCCCGTGCTTGTGCTCGCTCTCTCTCTCTCTCTGTCAAATAAATAAATAAAATCTTTAAAAGAAAATAAAACCTGATGCATATGTGCTCCTAGGAGATGTGCTAAACTATGGTTCAAGTCTTAGTAATACCAGTACCTGAGTTCTTCATAGGACTGTCATTTTTAGAGTCCTCGTCAGTTCCTGTCCTCTTTTCCCCTGCCCCTCCCGAACCCATAAGTCCTCAAGCCACTCAGTGGAACAGAGCATGGCAGGCGGTGGCGGCAGTTTTGGAGGACATGCCCTAATGGACTGGGAAAGGGGCCCAAGTGGAGTGAGGAGTCCCCGGTCACGGGGCTGGTGCTGAGGGGCCTGGCACAGTGTTTGAGAGCGCACACACATGAGAGGTGGCCGGCAGGGCACTGGCGCTCAGCTGGTTTCAGGAGGGCACCTGCACAGGAGGTAGAAGGGGCAAGAGTGGGAATAGATGACTACAGGGGTTGACCTAATATAAGTATGTTAAGAATCGTGAGGACCAGGTGTCTCTCTATTGGAGAAGGCACTTACAATACAGAAAGGAAGGACCGCCCCAGTGAGCCCTGGAGTGTCTGATTGGAATTGAAGGTATGGATGCGAACCCATGATTTTTGGTACATTTACAGAAATAAATACGGTTGTGTGTGCACACACACGTTCCCTGACTCTGTTCTTTGAAAGGTTCTGGAAGCGGCCCCAGTCACCCTCAGCGGGGATGCCTGGTGTTCAGAGCTTGACTTGTAACACCATTCTCCCCTGAACAGAACTAGGGCTCCTCGGAGGAAAAACTGATTGTAGGGCTGGCGCAGCTTTCCGATGGTGCCGGAAAGCTCGGCAGTGCTCAAAGAATGGAGTGGCTTGGTCACCAGGCCACAGAAGCCGGCTTGAAGGGGCTCCTAGTGGTCAAATCTGGAGCAAATCGAACATCAAAATAAAGAAAACAGTAACGCTGAATAAAGGAGGAAACCACAAGTCCATGTTGAAATAGATAATGAATGAGCAGATTGAGCGTTTGAGGATATTTTACAGTATCACAGTCCTTTCCCACAAAATAATGCTTATTATTCATAAAGGGAGGAAGGGTCACTTTAGAATAGCGAAGCTTAACAGGTACCACCTCTCACCCCGGAGCTGAACTTGATGGGTGACGAGGGGGTCAGTCAGAATCACCACATAGCAGGCTATAGCAAAACAACAAAGCCTCGGTCCTGTGAGACTCCTGCTGGGAATCTGATCATGAGGACACCTCAGACAAACCGAAATTGTGACCATTCCACAAACTACATTCCTCTTAAAACCATGAGAGCCACAGGAGGGCTGAGGAGCTGTCCTGGCAGCTGGATGCAGCATAGGATCTGAACTGGGTCTTTGTGGTAAAAAGGACACTTTGGGGTCAGTTGGAAAAGTTTAGATGGGGTCTGAGGATTAAGTCTTAATTTATCATAGAGTATTAATGTCCTGTTATTGATTGTAAGAGAATGTCTCTGTAGGAGATACTGATGTCTTGCCAGGTGTTGGGGTGTCAGAGATCAGCTGTTTAAAGTATTTTTTACTGTATTTGCAACTTTTAAGTGTGAGATTTTTTAGAGGGAAAAAAATATTTCCATAAGGAGCCACTTTTAGAAATTGGGCTCCTGGCTAGGATGACAATTAAGAAGTATGTGTCTGACTCTTCCTTATTAACAGCTTTTAGGGTTCTCCTCCGTAATGATCATGGAAGTGTGTGTGTGTGTGTGTGTGTGTGTGTGTGTTTTAAGATCTTTTTTACTATAAAGGTGTTATTCAAGTTACTTGTGAAGAATGTAGAGGAAGGTGTGATGCCAAAAGTCCCAAATTGCCCTTTCTCCAAATTTAGTCACTAGAATAGCCTTCATTAAAAAATTTTATGGAAATTTTCTGTGCATGTACATACCCTTGTATTTATGTATTTGTATATATTTACTGTGCAAATTGAATGATCCTATACACACTTTTTTGCCACTTAACTCTTTTCATTAAATATATTGGACATGGTCACACATCGGTACATGTAAAAAGATTGCTGCCTTTTTATTTGCTACATAATCTATTTTTAGTTGTATCATAATTAATGAGTGCACTTTATGGCCATTTTGATTCTTAAATATTTTGAAACAAACAGTATTACAGTGAATGTCCACATATGTTTCTTTTTTTTTTTCTTTTTCTTTTTTTTTTTTTTAATTTTATTTATTTCCACATATGTTTCTTAACACATTTGGGTATGTTTATCTGTGAGAGAAATTTCTAGAATTGAAATTGTTTGGTCATAAGTTAGGCATTTTTAAATATGTGATGATTCCAAGCTACTTCTAAGGATTCTAAGGAAGTAACAACCCTTTTAACGCTGGAAGTCCTGTATTCAGATCTGTGCACCTCAGCAGACATAAGATACTCTCCATCTCTCATCTTTGCCAGGCTCAGAGAGGAAGACTGTATCTTATTTTCGTCTGTATTTGAGTCTGTAGTTAGTCTGTATTTGCACTTTCCTGTGAATGGCTTTTTCAGTTCTTCCCACTTTTTATTGGTCTTACTGATTTATAAGAGTTATTTGTTAGATTAAAGAAGGGAACCCTGTTTGTCGTTATTTCTTGACCATGTGGGCAGTTTAAATTTTTATGTAGTCCGATGTATCAGTCTTTTTCTCTGACAGTTTCAGGGTTTTGTATCCTGCTTGGAAAGAGTTTACTCTTCAAAAAATGATATATATGATATATATATATTTTATATATATATATATATATATTTTTTTTTTTTTAAAGATTTTATTTGTTTGACAGAGAGAGAGACAGAGAGAGAGGGAACACAAGCAGGGGGAGTGGCAGAGGGAGAAGCAGGCTTCCCGCCGAGCAGGGAGCCCAATGCGGGGCTGGATTCCAGGACCCTGGGATCATGACCTGAGGCGAAGGCAGATGCTTAACGACTGAGCCACCCAGGCACCCCGAAAAAATTATATTTTTAAAATACGTTCCCCCCCCCAATATTTCCCTTAAAAAAATCTTTGATTTGTGTGGCTGGTTTGTGGTCTCAACACCATTAATAGGATGTGAGAACACCTCATTCTCAGTTTGTGAATTTTAGATTAGTATGATTATCATTCATGTCACTTAAGAAAGGGAGCGATTTTAGAGGAAGGGGCAGTTATTGTAAGGGAGAAATAGAAAATGAGTTTATAGGAGCCGGAGAGATGGGGTTGGTACAGGACGCCTTACATGAATACAGTTCCAGATCACTGTAAATTAGGAAAAGAGAAATATGGCACTGAAATGTACGTTTGGGGTTGGGTAGTTTCTGTCATGTCGAAGTGTAATCTTGTTTTTCTTATTTAATATGTTAGTTTATGGCCAGTTTGATTTGTAAGTAGATAGGTATGGTTGCCATCTTGTGGTTCTGCATTACCACACCTTGACTTTAGTGTGGATGCTGCTTTCAGGCCTGTGGGTTCATCTCGGCTGTGGCTTGTACGTGTAGCTCTGTGTTCCCACAGCGGACATGCATTTGGTTTGTGGAGTGGTGGGTGGTATCTAGGCTCTCTCTTGGGACTCAAGCCTTGAATTAAAGGTGTGTCTGTCTTTGGACCAGTTGGTTTGTAAATGTAACTGGGTAATAGGTTCCACCACTGCCGTTGGATTTTAATCCCCGGATGTAGGTAATGTTTTCAGACCTGGAAATTTAGATCAGCTCCTTGCTCAGTTTTCCTCCCATCTCTTCATTTCCCCTGTTTGTCTTCCTGTTGAATATTTATTTCCACATTTGCATACCAAGAAGCAATTTTACCTAATGTGCAAGGTAATTTTGGTCCATAGGGTCATCTCTTGGTATAGTATCTAATGACTTTATAATTAATATGAATGACAGGTCAAAAACCTTGGGGAGAAATTTAAGAATTTTAAATGAGCATTTAACGTGTTCGACAGTAATGGAAGGGGATTTGTATGTTGAGCAGGGTGACAGTTTTGTGTGCTGTGAGTGTCATAACCTTGATGAAGGTAACCCACACCATGGGTTAACTTAATGTTAAAGTTTCTCAGATTCTAGTACCAATTCATCAAGGTTATGACACTCACAGCACACTCTCCCTAGGAGGAGAGTAAAGCTGAAAGGCTAAGTAACTGGTTTAGGGTGATTCAGCTTTTAAGTGGTTGAGCTGGTATTCAGATCCTTGAGGAAACTTTCCATTAGACTGTACTGTAACTATGCCCCTTATTGCAGGGTCCCTTTGTAGAGAAGACTTCCAGCTGAAGTCTTTTAATTACATTAATAAAATGTGAGGAAAGCTGGTTTTCAAAGATAACGGTTTAGAATCATGGCATGATGCACAGTGGAGCGAATCATCAGTTAGTCATGCCTTAGGACGTAGTCCTACTTGTAGCTCCCCAGACCACCGCATTCCACAGTTTCCAGGACCCGTAGCACCCCAGCATCCTAGGCTCTTAGGTTCAGAGTGTGGGAAAGTGCCTTCATGGGACAGGCAAGTGAGGAAAAGTAGCACCTGTGAAGAAGAGTAAAGGAATTGCAGTTCTTATTCTGAGCAGAAACCACTTGGGCAAAAGGCAGAAATGATATAGATATATATCTATAGATATAGATATAAATATATATGTATAGATGCATATATATATATTTTTTTTTTGCCAGAATTGCAACCATATCACTAGATTATAGAAAATTAAAAATAAGCCTGTTCACTAGATTTTTGCAAATAGGTTTAACTTTTATCCACTTCCTCCTATGGGAAATACGTTAGAAAATAATATTCTTTTCCTTAGGAAAACCGTCTGTTTTTTATACCTGAATTAAATGGCCACGTGCGCTGGCCTGAGATCTGTCCCACATGAAGTTAACCCCGGTCTTGTCTTTGTGCGCAGGCAGCTATTTTCCACGTCATCCCAAGCTTTCCTGCAGAGTCAGCGGGTGCACAGCTTCTTTCAGGCCGTACCAGCGGACCCCCTGCACAGCCTCAGTAAGCGCCTCTCCTCTCCTCTCTGGAAGCCGGCTGCTTTCTCGCTCAGTCCTGCTTCACCGTGCCGCCCCTGGGGGCTGGCCGCCGGCGTCCCAGTCGGGGAAGGGTGGCATTCGATTAAGAACATCTCTAGTCTTCCGTGACATTGACACCGCAGTTTTAAAGCTAACGTCACAAATCTGACTGGCTGCCAGGCGGAGGCCAGCTGTCTCCGGACTCGTGCACATCCTGGGTCCCCCGGGGCTGGTCAGCCTGGGCGTGCAGGTCGTAGAGGTGCTGCGCTGCCGAGCGCCTGGTGTAGAACCTCTTAGAACCTGCCTTTCCTCCTGGGTCCCCCATCTCCGTAGGGACCTCCTCGGCTTCCGAGTCTGCAAACCCGGGCCTTACCCTTTTCACTTACCCTCTCTGTAGTCAGTCATGGACAGGCCGAGCCACACTGGACGAAGGATGTCTTCCTTTCTGCCCCACCCCCACCCCCCGCCCCAACGAGTCCCGTTGTTGGCAGTTAAGCCTTTCTTTCCTGCACACCCTGCGCAAAGCCTCTCGCTAGTCTCAGATTCTAGTTTCTCGCTTTACTTTAACCTATCCCAGGATTACCTCAGGGATCAGTTGCTTTTAATCCCCTCTTGAGAACGTTAAACGTTTGGTTTGAAATTCAAGCCCGGCCATGAGCCTCCTTGTACCTTACTGCTAGTCTCTCAGGCTTGGCGTGCACCCAGTACACGTGCCATTTCCTGTCCCAGTGTCTTGGCTCGTTCTGCACCTGAACTTCTAAATGGCCTTCCTTTTGGCACAGCCTGTTAAAATCACACCTGTTTTAAGACCCAACTGAAACACCGCCTCCTGAAGATTTCCCTGCCTTTTCCTTCTATTCCTGTGGGTTGGTTTTCCCTCATGTGTCATCCTTCATCACAGTTGGCCTTGTGTGTTGTTTGATGTCATCTTTCTCAACTGCCTGTTTAGACAAATATTTGGCCAGGAACATGGATGTGTGCTTTAGGAGAATGTGCTGACTTCCAGCACAGCCACTCTGGCAAGTGGCTATTTACTTTTTTAAATCTTTTCTTCTGCTTTCAACAAAGTCCTATTTTCTTGTACCTAAAGGGGAAAGAAAATGCATATTTCCTCATTTTGAGGTGGAAGAAAAAGAGTTTAAAAAAAGTAAGATGATTGGGTATTATAACATGGGTTAACTTAATGTTAAAGTTTCTCTAGTGGGGCACATGCGCCTTAAATATTTTAAACAAACAAGTAGCAATTAGAATTAATGACTTGGTGACTAGTTAGTAAGACAAGATGAACGACCACGTGGTTAAATTTATGTCTGAATGGTGGCAGTAGCTGTATTTTTTTAAAGGAGAATCCTAATCATCCTAGAGCTGTATAGATTTCACAGTCAGTGCTTCTGCTTGAACTGAGTGTAAGTACTTTTTAAGGAGTATCACTTAAATAGATCTGTTTAATTCTAAAAAAGCATTGAAACACGAAGTTAAACTTCAAATTCAGATTTTAGCAGGCTGCCCAGGAACACTGACCCAAGTGGGTAGTGCACAGATAAATAATAGAAAACTCATCATGAGAGCTTTACAGTGCGTGAGCAGCGCTAAAGAAGGTATCAGATTGCTGCGAAATTAAAATGTATTAAAAACACATGTTTGAGATTGTGGAAAATCTGGTCAGGATGACCCCATTGTTTCACCGAGTTCATTTGTACTTTTTTTTTTTTTTAAAGAATGACAGCTCTACACTTTTTCTCCCTAGGATAGAGCATAGTGTTCTATATTCTGACGATGGAGAAAACAAAATTGTTAAACTCCTAAATGACTTGAGAATTAAACTCTGGAATCCCACCGGTCTGTATCGTAATGGAGAAGTCGTCCGGGGCTTTCAGAATGTGTTCGGTGACCGGTCAGTGCTGGCCCATGAATTGCTTGTCACTGCTCTGTAATAGAAGAATAGAAACTGAGAGTAGACAGTCTGTGTAGCAGTTTGACATTGCCACACGTGATCGTATTTTTAAAAGTAATAGTTTACAACACATTAGAAATTTGAAAGCCTCCGCACACACTGATGTTTGGGAAGCACTCATCTAGTGCTGCTTCTCATTTTGCACGTGAGCACTTGGGGAAGAGAGAGCAGCCTCCACGATCAGGGTCCCCACTCCCAGGCCAGTGTTTCGTGCTCTGTCACTTTGGTTTCTTCAAAGGCCCAGCTAGTAGAAGTGTTCCCTTTGCCACTAACTCTCCACTCTCCTCTTCTTGGGAGAGAAGGAATCCTTCTGTGTGTTTTCTTTTATTATATTTTTCCTAAAAAGTTAATGATGCTGAATGCTTCCTTGCAGATAACTTACAATCCTCCCTGAAGACTTCTAAAATCTTAGAACACTTAAAGGAAGACAGTTCGGAAGCTTCAAGTCAAGAAGAAGGTAAGTGTGGATTCACTGGAATAAGTCATTCTGCCTGATATGGGCAAAGGGAGAGGTAAATGGACCATTAGAACAGATTAAGGAGCCAAGAAACAGACATCTGGGAACTCGGAATGTGACAGGTGGCATTATAAATAAGTGAGGAAAAAATAGACTAGTCAGTAAATGATGTTGGCTGCCTTTCCAGTTGAAAAAAATATTATCTCATTAGATCTGTACTTATATCATGCACAGAAATTGCAAGTGAATAACAAAATATATGTAACATATAAACATAATGTAATATGTAAATTATAAAATGGAACTTTTAAATGTTAATAATCTGGGACAAGAAGGCTTTCTTGACAAAGCAGAGCATGACTGTAGTGGAGATCTTCCTGATCTAAATTAACTGAACATGTGACCCAAAAACCAGACAATTAGAAGACACGTACAGGATATTCACAGTTGAAGAAAGACTACATCCAGACAATAGAAATATTCTTTCAAAAAATCAATGAGAACATCAGTCTGATTGGAAGTATGGACAAAAGATAAAGACAGTTCATGGAAGAAGAAATTTGAACAGCTGTTGAGCAGTGTTTAGCCTCACGAGTAGTGGGAAAAATGCACACTGTAAAAACAGTGAACTATCATTTCATGCTCATCAAATCGGCAAAGCACTTTTGAGTCTGACATTACCAGGGATATGAAGTAATGGGAACTCTGATCCGCTGCGGGTGGGAATATAAATTGGTACAACTCATTTGGACAGAAATTGGACACTGTGCAGTGAGGTTGGAAGTAATTAATTTTATGCTACTGCCCAGCAGTTCTGCTGCTATGAAAACTGTTGTCCGTGTGCCCAGGGCACAGAGACTGAAGTCCTCACAGGGCAGCCTTGTGTGTAACAGCAAATACCTGGGTATGACCCAGGTGCTGTCAGTCTTCATAAGAACATGCACTAGAATATTTCAACTAGCTTACCTCCGTAGGGGGAGGGAGTCGAATGGAATGGAGGAAGGCCTTCGGTTGTTTCTGTGATATATTTTTGTTTCTTATAAAAAGAGGCAGATACAGTTGACCCTTGAACAACATGGAGGTTAGGGGTGCTGACCCCCAGGCAGTTGAAGGTTGGGTAGCACTTCTGACTCCCCCACAACTAAACTATTAGTAGCCTGCTGTTTGACCAGAAGCCTTACCAAAGGTGTCCACTGTTAACACAGAGTTTGTATTTTAGGTGTACTGTCTACTGTGTTCTTACAATAAAGTAGGCCAGCGAAAAGAAAATGTTAAGAAAATCATAAGGAAGAGAAAATAGGTTTCCAGTACTGTACTTACTCATCGGAAGAAAAATCTGTGTGCACGGGGACGCTTTGCGGTTCAGACCCATGTTGTTCAGGAGTCAGTTGAATAGAGAGACCTGGGAGATGGTTACATGACGTTTCTTATATTAAATAGATAGGCATTTTTTGAATGTTTGAGACACTTCATTTCTTTAGTGGTTAAGAAAAGAGCCTGAAATGGAGGGTTGTCGTTTTGCAGGGGCGTGTCACAGTTTTGGACAAAACCAGTTTGCTCTTAGGTGGACTGCATTTGAGAAGATATTTAAGGAAATTCAGTAGTTTAGTGTGTCTTTGAAAAACTGCCTCTTTAAGGAATTTTTTGTGAGAAATGCTTAGAAGTGTTCTGCACGGTCTGCTGACACTGTTACAGTCACATAAATTAGTTGCGTCATCCTTTTGGATTTTTGCAGAAGCATTTGGTGTAATAAACTGTTTTTGTCTCTACTCTAGACGTGTTACAGCACACCATAATCCACAAGAAACATACCGGGAAAAGTCCCCTCGTGAAGTACGTATCTAATTTCCAAAACGTAAATGTCTTTGTGCATTTTTAATTCACTGGGTCACGTTTACTTGAATTACCGATACATTTGGCTGTAAGTCTGCCATTTTACTCTTGGCCTGTTACTTGTCCCACCTTTTTTGTGTTACCTTTTTTTTTCTCTCCTTCCTGCTTTAGGGTGGCTTTTATTCTGGTTTTTTCTTCCCTTAACCTTGATTGTTCTGTATCGTTTTCAGTTCTTCTGGTGGTTACCCTAGAGATTGTATTTTACATCTGAAACCTACTACGGTCTGATATGAATAGTGCATGCACCACTTACCCTGTGAGGACCTTTAATCACTGTTGTTTCCCTTTCCTTCTCCCCCGTATAAACCGTCAGTGTCATGTATTGTTATTCTCCCTGTATTTTAGAGCTCATGAAACTCTTCACTCATCAGTTAGATTTTACCATTCCAGTGTCCTTCGTTCTTGCATGCGTGTCTTAGCATCCATCCGTGATTTTCTTCTTGCTGCAGAACACCAGAGTATTTCCTGCGTCCTGCCAGTGATGCATTCACTTTGTTTTTACCTGGAAAAAGAATGCTTATTTTGCCCGCATTTTTGCTGGATACAGGATCCTAGGTTGGCGGTTACTTTCTGTGAGCGCTTTGAAACTCAGGTTTTACCGTCTTGCTGTTGAATGCCTTTGGTCCCTTGCATTATATCCCCTCAGCCCAGCTCTGGATCCCCTCATTTTCTCCTGTCCCACCTAAACTGTAAGACTGGCCACCTTCCACCTCGGGGCACTTGCTGATTCTGGGGACCTAGTTGGCTCTCAAACAGGCATAGTCCAGAAATGCAAGTTAATTTGTCCCTGGGGGTCAGCGCTCAGCTGATGGGGGAGCTCAGCTTCCTGTCCTTTAACTAGATAGTTCTGGGAGGCCCCAGCTGCTTTGAGCCTCTGCTGCTTCTCTTGGCGACTTCAGTAACGGACCCTCACGTTGGTTTTTCCTCCTTTCCTGTTTCCTTCTGTGTGTGCTTGTCGTTCCTGCTTCCTGGGGTCACCTACCCTAGCAACCATGCCATCCCAGATCCTGCTTTACTAGGGGGACTAAAAAAGACAGCCGGCCTTCATCGCTTCAGTCTTCTTGTTGCTCTTTGGAAGTTGGTGCGCTTTTCAAGCTCTGGTTCCTTTTATGATTTCCTATTGTCTGGTTTTCAGCACTCCGCCTAGGATACGTGTGTAGCCGTCTTTGAATGAATTCTACTTCTCGAGTCTGAAGCCTGATACCTTTTGGGTTTAGAGAAGTCCAAGCCATGATCTCTTCAGATATTGCTTCTGCCTGATTCTCTTGTTTTCTCTTCTGAGACCTGGACGACTTTGGATGATAGACTTCTCATCGTGCCCTGCGTGTCTCGTCAACTTTTCTATGTTCTCTGTATTTTCTTCCTCTCGGCACTCCAGTCTAGTTTCTTCTGACCAAAGTTCCTCCTCACGGACTTTGTTCATCTGTTTCCATCCACTGAGTTCTTACTTTCAGTTTCTTTTACAGTGTCAGAGTTGAAATTTTTTATATTTTCCAGGACTCTTCCAAAATGTCTCATCGTCTTGTAGTCAGTGACGTGTTAAGCACTGTTATTTTAAAGGCCCTGTTCAGTACCTTCCTTCTCTGGATTCTTTTTGAGTCTGTTTCTGTTTGTTTCTTTTGGTTTTCAGTCGCATCATCCTGTCCTTTAATATGTCTTAGATATATGCAGCTCTTAGCGATCCTCGCAGGATCGGGGCTACCCGCCAGCGGGGGGTGGTACAGGATGACCGTAGCATAGAGTCTGAAGACCGTGTGCATTCGTTACTAATTTCCTTAGAGAAAGGTATTAATTCTTATCTTAGATCAGATAGCTGGGTAATAGTTTATTCTCACAGTGTACTTTTTTTTCCCTTAGAGGTATCACTAGGCATTGTGTAAAAAAATAATATACTGAAGAAAGGGTCACTGCAGCTTCTTCATGCTGTGAATAGTAGGCCCCACTATTGAGAGTAGATTTTCATGCATGTGTAAACTTTTCTGATAGCACTGTCAGTACAAGTTGTTCTCCACTGGATGGGCTCACCATGCAATATTCCGAACAGAATGGACTCGTGGATTGGAGGAAGCAAAGCTGTCCCGCCGTTCAGCACCCAGAGCACTGTGTGGCCTTAGCTGACCAGGTATCGGAGGTTTCGTTTCTGTCTTTGCGCGTCGCTGCTCTAGAAGAGTCGAGTCCTCTGTGCGTTGTTATGTCAGATAGTGTAAGTGTTGGACTTTAAATTTAACGGGAATATGTGGTCTAAGCTCTTCTGAGACCTGAAAGAATACGCTGAGATTGCCTTTATTGCTCCAAAATTTAGTACCTTTTGATACAAATCCTTTAATGTTTATTCTAATTAGGGATACATTAAATGGTTTTGCCAGATTTTTTCGCTTTTGAAAGAATTATTCACAGTTCAGTTGCTATCTTGCTGTTAGTGATGTGAATTTGGAAACCGACCTTTCCTCATGAATAGCTGGGGCACTTTCCCCAGCTTTCCGGTTTGTATTCTTTTGAATACAAAAGAATGTAATTAGGAAATACTTGCTTTCTTAGGAGTTGGTGTAGTCAAAGCACAGAATGCTCTCACGTGTGTCCGTTTAGGTACGGTAGCACCACAGATGTAGGGGGATGCTCACTGTGCAGCTCTGGAGAGAACCACCTTCTTCCTAGAAAATAGATTGGTTAACCTGATTGTTATTTCTGGACAACACTCAGATCCAAATGTTAACCTTTACTGGAATGCGTTTTTACAAACTAAAGCATTGAAGCATATTTTAAGAAGTTGTATATTACCTTAGTCCTACTTAATGGCCTATTTTCAGAGTCCATTTGATTATGCCTTTTCTCTATTTCAGTGCCTACACCGTCTCCCCTTAAAGGTGACAAAACTGTTTTGAAGTTTTAGCAACCTGAACTTTAAGAGAATTCTGTTGAAGGTGTAGCAAATACCAGTTTCTTGACTGTGTTTTATTTTGTGGTCAGAAGAAGGAATACAGGTCCATTTTAAAAACAAAATACAAAATAGGTATTTTTCTTAGGTTAATATTAAGTATTTATCAGAGAATGTGCAGATTTTAGTGATTCAGGTAGGTATTTTCAGGAAATAGGTTAGAAGTCAGAATTTATTAGAATATACAACTGGGAATATGTCATTTTAATGTTTGGTCTCAGAATAGAAGGATAACAACACAGTATGGTTTAGTTTTAGTCTGTTTGATTTCTTTTTATTCTTTCCATCAGCATTCAACTGAGAAACGAAGCTTATCATCAATAAATAAGAAGAAAGGAAAGCCACAAATAGAAAAGTAGGTTCAGTGTAATTTTCCAGTAATAGAAATTGGTAAGAAAGGCAACATGTGGGATTTGACTTTGGGCATGTTTAGTTGACGACATACAAATATTATTTTTCTACTAGTTCTCACCTTATTTTTACTTCGAGACTTAATTTTTTTTTTAATTTAAAATTATCAACAAATGCAAATGATTGAAATAAAGCTATTGCCAAATCTATTTAGTTTGGAGGGGTGCAGAACTCTCAGAACTGTACACTAAAAGGTGAATCTTGCATTTAGATTATAGCTTACTAAAATTTTTTTGTAAAGATTTTATTTTTATTTATTTGCCAGAGAGAAAGAGAGAGAGAGCGCGCGCAAGCAGGGGGAGCAGGAGAGGGAGAAGCAGTTTCCCTGGTGAGCAGGGAGCCCAACGTGGGGCTCGATCCCAGGACCCTGGGATCATGACCTGAGCCAAAGGCACACGCTTAACCGACTGAGTCACCCAGGCACCCCGAGGGGGAATCTTAGTAATTAACTGTGTTCTCTAGAGAGGCTTATAAAAAATGTCGGTAACGTGTATACTTTGGGTTTAGGGAGAAAACGATGAAAACTGACAACAGATTGAATAGTAGAATAAATGGTATTAGATTCTCCACTTCTCAACATGCCCATGGTGGTTCTGTGAAAGGTAAGAAAGTTTTTCTTTTAAATACCCATCCCCTAAATATATTTAGCATGATATCTATTATAGTAGATATTGAACTGTTGTGTCAAACCCTGGTATCATACTTTGATCCTGCACTGATGAGAATAGCAATTTCTGAATTAAACCATTCTGAAGTATTAATGGCATTAATTGAGGATGTAGGATTCAGCAGTGGAGGTACACCTTTCCTTTGCCACAGTTCTGCTTACCCACCTTCTCCTTCCTCTGGTAGCAGCCGGCTCCGCACTTGTTAGCTTCTCAAGCCAGCCGCTCCTCCAGAGCAGAGGTCCAGGGACCTGGAAGATCTTTTCTACCCTCATGGAAACCTGTCCTTGTTCTTGTGTAAAGTCATTTTTTGGAATCTTGTTGACATTTTCATGTTTTACTGACCATCCTTCGTGGGGGTTTTATGGAGATTTAGGGGAATGCAGACACTCAGATTTTTATTGTGCTAGATTTGTATAGTTTCCATTTACCCACTTTTATTTTAAGGTCTCTTTGGTTTTGTATTCTTTTGAGAAATGTCCTTTCTTCTGGTTCATTGGTAACTTTTCAGTGTCATGTTTACTATTAATAGGAAAGATAAAAGAGAATAAAAGCCCATAGACTGGTAGGAGAATGTTTTTTGCTCATGTGTGTACCTAACACATTTGTTGACGGGACTGACCTCACAAATTAAGGATTTTTTAAATTTAAATTTTATTCAAATATTAGCACATTCGGTTGTGATACAACATGAATAACCAGAATATATATTTTTAATGGAGTATGCTTTTAAATCAGGTATTTATTCAGAGAGCCTGAAAATTGATACAGGAAATACAGTTACATTTTGATTCTAAAAATCATCTGGCCAACTCATTGAATTAACCAACTGAACAACTGTCTTTGGGGAAAAAAATGACATGGGAAAAAAAAAAACCCACATCGTTGTTGGGTTTATTGTAACACTTCACTACCTTTGAGGTTTCCTGTGGTGGTGGCAGCCAATAGGAGGAGGAAAAGCTACAATAAGAACGACGAAAGGCCTCTGTCGGTGGATGGTTGGAAACTGCTTACCGCACGCCTCCCTGTCTCTGGTCTTCCTCCCTCCAGCTCATTTTCTTCACTGCCCACATGTTTGTCTCCTGGATGACTTACTTCGTTGGGTCATTTCCCAGTGGAAATTTCTGTCAAATGTGGCCCACCCGCAGAAGATCGCTCTGTCTCTTGTCTCTCACATAATTTGGGAATTGCTGCTTCCCGGAGAAGCACACGACTCTTCTTTCCTTGTTAGCTTCCTATTTGCGGAGAAGTCCTGTGGACTTTGATCTCAGACAGACGTGGGTTTGACTGTTGTACTCCGCAATGTGGTTTTGTAAATGTGTGGCCTCTCCGAAGCCTTATTCTTCTCATTTGTAAGACAGGAATAATAATCTCCTTCCCTAGATTGTGAGAATTAAGTATGGTTGCATCTGAAAAGCATTTCTCCAGTGCTGAGTACGTCGGTGCTCAGTAATTTTAGTTCCTTTTCCCTATTCAAAGGTAGAAGAAAACATACATTGTGTAGGTTATTAAGAACTTCTAAATAACATCCCAAACTCCCAAATCCCTTTGGCTCTTTATTTTCCAGTATTCTGAAAATACAACGTCCGGATTTTTTGTTAAGATAAACCTTATTCTGTGTCCTGAAGTGTGACTACATATAAAATCTTTAACTCTGCACTGATGTCAAATGTAGCTCAGATGTTTGCCGACTCTGATTTAAAAATAAAAACGACCCTCTATTTATTAATGTCCCTTTGAAACATTAGGGTATAAAGAAGGAATTACCTTTAAGCATTCAGTAAACTCAAGATGTATTTAAGATGTTTTTCTTTTTGGAAAAATCCTGCATGTCATAAAGTGTAGAGACTGTATTGGATTTGAAAATATCAGATCCTTCTGATTGGTAGGTTGTCCTCATCTTTTAATAACCAAGAGAAGTATTACTCATTTTTAATCTTAAAATTTAGCTTCCATTTTGAGTAGTAATACATTTATATAGTTCAATATTCTAAAGATACAAAGGTAGCAAAATAAGTCCCTTACTGCCTCCCTTTGTGTTGTGTCCTCCCAAGAAAGCAGGCAGTCTTCTTTGTCATCTATATTCTTTGCAGTGTATTTGCTTTTAAAACCTCCAGCTTTAAATCTCTCCACTAAAAGGGATGCTTGCTTTACTTCATCTGCGTTAAGAACTTTGTTCCACGGTATCACCCTGTGTTTCTTCCACCCCATTCTTCTGTTGTGGATTGTGGCACCAAGAAGTTTGGGGGGCCGTGAGATAGTTGACCTCTCAGTAATTCTTTTAAGAGATTTCAGAGACTTAAACACCTCCAGCTTCCTTTAATAACCCACTGTGTTTCTGTCATCTGGTATACCTACGTGCTTCTTCAGTCCACCTTAACTTCTGTTTGTTCGTACATACTAGTAACCAGGATTTTTATTGTTAGAATAGTGGCTAGAATAGAATATGGTAATTTGGGGGGTTTTGTCTTCTTAATAACATGCATAACCTTTTACCCTTCGAGACATAAATAAAAAAGTGTATGCTTCTGTTTGAAAGGACAGTGGGTGGAACATCCTTCATCATAATTGTTTCATCTTCTCCGTTCACACCTCTTGACTCCAGAGGGTCACATGATTCCTAATGAGAAAAATTCCAAAGACTCTGCACTTTCTGAATCATCAGAGAGAGAATTATGTTTAGTATAGTTTTAGATTTAGATTTAGTTCCTTGAAAACTGCAAATGATTATATTTGACAGTTTGGTGATTAGAATATTGACTAGCTATATAATCTAGAGTAAATCATTCTATAATTTGGCATTTGGAGAAATAGCTGCCCCCCCCCCTTTTTTTTTTTTTTGTAACATATTCCAAAACTTACTCTTTGAAGTTTCAGAGACTCCACTGTAGTTTCACTCTGAGTTTTAGGGAGCAAATCTCAGCTCACCCTCCCCCAGTGGCTCCCTTTTAGTGCATCATTTCTGGTTTTATACGATCATTGAATCTTTGATTCCCTTAGTAGAATTGTTCATTTTGTTCATCTTGCTGCTTGAACTATTTATATGCACAATCTCCATATGTGCCACAGTTGTATACGTTTTATTTTCATTCGTCCAGTTTAATGCCAGGCTCTTTGGCCACCGTGGCACATTAGATCGTCTTCAGATCCCCATTAGTGTTGGCTTGCATCCCTTCCCTCAGTCATGTTGTGACTGGTAATGCAGAACCTACTCTGTGTATAAGTACACTCCAGCTTACTTTTCTGCAAAATTATTACTTGCCCAAGTCACTCCTCTGCCACTTTTCTTACAGTCTCATGAGATTTTGTGCGGTTTTCCTTTGGCAGTTTGGCATTTTATTACCCAAAGGGAATTAGCAGCATCTGCATTCTTAATGACTTTATTCTTTAATATCACTTCACCATTGGAGTGGTTGGGCTAGGCTAGGTCATACTTCACCGTACTAACACTGTTATAAATTTAATACATTCAAGGGATTAAAGGACACAGATTAGTCAGCTGCCCTTGTTCATTACACAAACCATATCTTTTTTTTCTAACACATATTTTGTCCAAGCAATTACCTTTTATTGCTTCTACCAGGTTGCCATAGAAATGGTTCACTCATCTATATAATTCCGAAATACCTCCAGAATTCCTTATATGGGGATTTATCTACTAAACATGTGTTGAATGCTTGCTGTGAGGCAGAAACTATGTTAGCGGCTGGGTTTACAGAAATGAATAGAACAGTTATCTAAATTTGGGCCAGTGCAGGAATGTCTAGTACTAGATACACTAATAATCTTTTCTCTGTGCCCGAAACAGATATGGCTCATTGATCATGACAGGTTCTGTACGACACCCCCTACCCCACCTCGATCTGGGTTTGGTTTCTGGGCAGAACTCGGGGGGCTACTTAGTCTACTGGATGGGAAACATTTGACTCTTTTTAAATACTCAAGCACAGTGATTTAACTGGATAAGCATTTTTGGCAGTCAGTTCTATTCTTGAGTTCTATTAAAGAATGAGTTTTCCAATAAGCTCTGAGGAGTTAAAATATCCAGACTTAGAAAATGGCTCCATGCGCTGTTATTGAGCAGACCCTACAAAGAACCTTAACTCTGATTTTTTTTTAAAGTCAGTAAGATCGACTTGTTCCTCTGCCTTTATTTTAAGAATGTATTTGTTATTCAGGTATTTTCAATTAAAATTGTGCTTTAATAATGAATTTTTACCTAGATCAAGGACCAGCTTTTTAAGTGTTTATAGAAAAACTGAAAGAAAAAATTTTTTACAGCTGTAACTAATTCTAATGGTTTAATTCAGAAATTAATTTAACTACTTAACATGATTCTTTAAAAATAGAATTGTTATTTTTAGATGTGAATTTGGACATTGGATCTGGACATGACACGTGTGGAGAAACCTCTTCAGAGAGTTACAGTTCTCCTTCTAGCCCACGACATGATGGAAGAGAAAGCTTTGAAAGTGAAGAAGAAAAAGACAGAGGTTTGCTCTCTGGAAGGGATATGGGGGTGGCAGAGGAAAATGTGTGTTGTCTCTTAAAATCAGTCAGACATAAGTAATTTTATGTTCCTATAAATGTCATTATTGATTTTAAATTTAACTGGTATAAAGGGTGTCATAGACCTCTGACTTGGCAGTTCCTAGCAATGTTGATTTTTTTTTTAAGGCTTTATTTCCCTGCATATGAAATTAAGTAGAAAGATAGTCATAATAAAGAGTTCGGTGTAGAAAAATTGAAAATGTGTGTGTTGCCAGAGGTACATATTTATAATATACATATCTTCCCGATGGATTGATCCTTTTATCATTATAAAATATCCCTCTTTTTTTTGTCTCTAGTAAGAATTTTTTTTTAAAGTCTTTTATCCGAGAATAATATAGCACTCTAGCTCTCTTGGGTATTATTTGCAGGGTACTTCTTTTTCTGTCCTTTTACTTTAAGCCTATTCGTGTCTTTGAATCTGAAGTGTGTGTAGTTGGATTACGGCTTTTTAGCCATTCTGCATATCTCTGCCATTTGAGTGGAATGTTTAATCCATTTAATTTTACTGTAATTACTGATAATGCAGATTCACATCTGCCATTTTGCTGTTTGTTCTCTGTATGTATTGTCTTCAATTCCTCCTTAAACAGAAGCTCAGAGTCAGCCAAAAGTTAAGAGTATAAGAAAACCTTCTAGATTTTCAGGAATATGTGGAAGCTTTTCAAAGCTCCCTGTGGACATCTCATTCTTCTGGTTTTTTTTTTTTTTAAGTTTTTTGGTCAACCTCTTGTTAGCCCCAACTGGTAATGCTGCCTCAGGCAGCCTAGTTGTTAAACATTTGCAGCTTGACTGATTGTGACAAATGCCCCGTGGGTAAGTAGCTGTTAACACAGAGTGAGCTCTGACTGCTAGGCCAGTAGTGACAGTTCTTTGGGGATGGGGCTTTTAGAGAGCTCCAAATCCATGCTTTTTCTGGTGGCTGCTAGGCTGCTGGTTTATCTAGCTACTGTAGCTGCAAAACTTTTCATTTATAAAGCTACTTCTGAGCTGGAGAAAGTATACAGGAATTAGGGCAAGGTAAAAGGCCACAGTGCTCACCCTTCTTAAGAGATTCAATGGCTTTTCTGGAATAAACACTCCTCAGATTGCTGTAAGCCTTTAGTTAATTTCTAGAGTTCAGAAAGAGTTGATTTTGACAGTTTTTGCCAGGATTCTTGTTCCTTTTATGCAGGAGCGGCGTGTCAGAGATCCTTACTACCATTCTGGAAATGAGATCTCAAAAATGTGTATGTTGAATGAGGATATCATTCTTTACACATGATAAAGACATCTGATTGGTAACATCTTGGTTATAAACATCTGATTAGGAACATTTTGGTTATAAGATGAAGCCATGCTAGTGGGAAGTATCAAATGGTTTCCCTGGGGCCATGATCTATAGAGAGCCTTAGACCACAGCGTTCGGCCGCGCGTGGCTTCTTCCTGGGCAGCGTGCAGCTTCCCGAGACCTCAGCTTCTGTGTCAGAGTATCAGGTCATGTGCTGGGGAGCTCCGGCAGGGGGCTGCTGCGTCACGCACAGTTAAAGCCCGTCTTCCTGGGCGGTTGGTTTGAAGCCTGACCCTGCAGCATGCAGAGACTCTACCCCCGGTTCTAATTAGAGCCACCGCTATTTCTGATCTGCAGTTTCCTCATGAAAAAGAAAAAAAAATGGAAGTAACTGCCCGGAGCTCTTATGAAGGTTAAATGAGAGCATTTTTATTTTATTTTTATTTTTATGCCTTATCCAGAATAGACAAGCTTTCAGTGTGTTTCATTCCCCAGGCTCTGCTTGATTCTGTGGGATGTACCAGTAATCCAGGGGCTCTTGAGCTAACAGTGCACATTTGGCCTCTTGGTCAGAATTGTGAAGAGTACATCTGTGCACTCAGGTTACTTTGCAGCCTCCCTTTCCTGCCGTCGGATAGGGTGAGTTGGCGGCCTAGATGGAGGAGCTTGCCCTTTTTCAGAGAAGTTCCATTATCCAGTGACTAAGTTGAGCCTTCCCTAAATGAAGAATCATTTGGAATATCTAAAACCAGCAGGGGGAAAATATCCACTGTGGGGAAAAAGCTTTAATCATTTTTAGAATTTTGAGTGCATGAAAAGGTTGCTTTAAAAAGCATGTGACTTTGTTGTTGTTCTGTTGCTCATAATGGGGTTTTGTTTTGAGACTTCATACTTTTGAAAGCCAATGCAAAAAAGGGAGAGACCGTCTCTAATTAGCTAGATGAGTCCTTACAATGCTCAGAAAACCTTTTGGGATCATTTAAACTCATGGGACCATTTGCCGTGACTTAAGATTTAAAGAAAGCCCAGTTCATACAGAAATGTAGTTAACCACCTGAAAAATGACCTATCTTCTTTGGACTTAAATGTTTGTCTTCCTCACTGTGTATTGCTACGATGGTTACAGATACAGGTAAAGTGCCTTGAATAAGTTACTAACTTTTGGATACGTTTTGTTTTGAAACATTTAGCAAGAAACACCTCAGTTATTAAGGGAAGTTTATGCTAGAACCACTTACTCATAAATTGAAACTCTTCTTCCTAAATTATAATAATTGAGTGAATAGCACTGTTGACATCCTGTGTCATTAAGCAGGTTCTGTTTAACCTTTCTTGAGGAAGACTACTAGTATGATTTGTTCTTAGTATTGTTTCAAAAGTTCTTAAAACCTTTGCTGAATATAGTATAGCTAGCTGTTACCTTCATACATGTAAACTTTTTTAAGTACATGATACAGTTTTGCTTGTATTCATGAGCAAAAAAGATGTTAAAATGGGCACTACATTTAATTGCATAGGTTGCTCTACATACTATTGCAGCATCTGGGTTTATGATACCTGCATATTGTGAACTAGACTTTATCTTTTGCCCTCTTTCTACCGGAAGTTAGGACACTCAGGGCAAGTCTAGATTGAAGCTCTTCCTGTATACAAGCATGAGAGCGATTGCAGCAATAACGCCATATGACGTGTAATTTTGGATTTGCCGCTTTGCTGTTTTGCCATGGGTGAGATGGCGGCGCGCTCGTATTTGCCTTGCTGGCTTGTGCTCCAGCACCATTTGTTTTATGACTAAAATAGGAGCTTTAAATGTTCTTCTCCCCACTGAAATCCATTCTCTTCCATTCCCTACCTCTAGATCTTTGGGTGAAGGATAGTCTTGTGATTGCATCATATGTGTGAGACCCGTGGGAAGACCTTGGGTTTGGCAGTGCAGAATACAAATCAAGTGAATTGCCTAAAATTGATTAAAAAGATCCAATCCTTTTCTCAGTAGTAAGGTGATATTAAATAAATCTCAGTATTTATATTGTGCTTCAGTCTCCAGTTAACCTTTTGTTGCTTATCTCTCCATGGATTTTCTTTTTTATTAAAGACTTAATTTTTTTAGAGCAGTTTTAGGCTTACAATATGATGAAGAGGAAAGTACTACAGAGATTTCCCCTGTAGACAGCCTACCCTGTTATCAGTAGCACTCACTGGAGTGGTACACTTTTTACTAAGTGTGAACATCCGTGGACACATTATTATCACCCAGCAGCGCCTGTAGTTGACCTAAGGGTTCATTCTTGATTGTTATACCTTCAGTGGCTTTGGACAAATGTTATAATGACTTGTATTCCCCATTATAATATCATACAGATCACTGTCACTGCCTGAAAGTCCCCTGTGCTCTGCCTCTTCGTCTCTGCCCTCAGCTCCCCGCCCCTGATGACCATTGGTCTTTTTATTGTCACTGTAGTTTTGCCTTTTCCAGAATCTCTATATTAAAAAAAAAAAGTCCATAGGAAGCCAAAAATTAAATGAAGGTCAGCTTGGTGGTCAGGAAACAGAGGGACACATCTCCTCCAGTTCTAAACTTCAGAGTTGATTTTAGATACACTTAAAATGTGGGGTGCCTGGGTGACTCAGTCGGTTAAGCGTCTGACTCTTGATCTCAGCTCAGGTCTTGATCTCAGGGTCGTGAGTTCAGGCCCCGCGCTGGGCTCCATGCTGGGCGTAGAACCTACTTAAAAAAAATAAAATGTAAAATAAAAAAAAAAAAAGATATACTTAAAATGTATTTCTAGCGAGAGATGAGAGTGATGCATGCTTTAACATCCGTTTATATGTTTCCCTTAGACACAGACAGCAATTCTGAGGATTCTGGGAATCCATCAACAACCAGGTTTACAGGCTATGGTTCCGTCAACCAGACCGTCACTGTCCAGCCGCCTGTTCAGATTGCTTCATTAGGAAGCGACAACGGAGGCCTTTTAGAAGATCCCCTCACCGCACCCAAGTATCAGCATATTTCTTTTATGCCAACTTTACACTGTGTCATGCACAATGGTGCCCAGAAGTCTGACGTTGTTGTTCCTCCACCCAAATCTGCCGATGGCAAGACAATAGGGATGCTCGTTCCCAGTCCTGTTGCTATTTCTGCAATAAGGGAATCCACAAATTCCACGCCTGTTGGAATCCTGGGGCCAGCAGCTTCTACTGGAGAATCTGAAAAGCACCTTGAATTACTGGCTTCCCCTTTACCTCTTCCGTCAGCCTTCCTCCCCCACAGCAGCGCCCCTGCTTTGCACCTCACAATCCAGAGGCTAAAGTTGCCGCCACCACAGGCGTCTTCAGAGAGTTGCCCAGTTAACATCCCACAGCAGCCCCCCGCGAGTCTGAGCATCGGATCACCAAACACTGCCTTTCTTCCTGTCCACAGCCCAGGTAGTTTTCCGGGATCTCCTGTCGCTACCACGGACCCCATCACAAAATCTGCATCCCAGGTGGTAGGACTCAATCAAATGGTGCCTCAAGTCGAGGGAAACACTGGGACCGTCCCTCAGCCTACCAATGTGAAGGTAGTTCTCCCAGCAGCCGGCCTGTCAGCCGCCCAGCCACCAGCTTCCTACCCCTTGCCAGGCTCGCCCCTCGCCGCCAGTGTGTTGCCCAGCCAGAATTCCAGCGTGCTCAGCACGGCGGCCACGGCGGCCCAGTCGGCGGGGGCGGGCATCAGTCAGGCCCCGCCCGCAGCGCCGCCCGCCGTCCCCACCCACACGCCAGGCCCCGCCCCCAGCCCGAGCCCGGCGCTGACGCACAGTACTGCGCAGAGTGACAGCACGTCTTACATCAGTGCTGTGGGAAACACGAACGCGAACGGGACAGTGCTGCCGCCACAGCAGATGGGCTCGGGTCCTTGTGGCTCTTGCGGGCGCAGGTGCAGCTGTGGGACCAGTGGCAGCCTCCAGCTAAACAGCTACTACTATGCTAACCCAATGCCCGGACCAGTGTACCGAGTCCCGTCGTTCTTTACTCTGCCATCCATCTGCAATGGCAGCTACCTCAACCAAGCACATCAGAGCAACGGAAACCAACTTCCTTTTTTTCTGCCTCAGACTCCATATGCAAATGGGCTGGTGCATGACCCAGTCATGGGGAGCCAAGCCAACTATGGCATGCAACAAATGGCGGGATTTGGGAGATTCTATCCTGTCTATCCAGCACCTAATGTAGTTGCCAACGCGAGCGGTTCGGGGCCCAAGAAGAACGGGAACGTGTCATGTTACAACTGTGGCGTGAGCGGACACTACGCACAGGAGTGCAAGCAGTCGTCCATGGAGGCCAGTCAACAAGGTAATCATGAGAGCTCCCAGAGGACTTGTTTTTGAGTGTGCCCGTTTCTCCCTACCTTACTGAGCACGGTGATCCTGTTGTGGCAGAAAGAGCTGGTGTGTGTTCATTTACGGATGTTGTGCTTTTCAGTGACAAATCCGAAAATGCAAATGGGAAAACCTAGTGTAGACCCAGGTCACGCAGCACAAGGAAGTTGAGAGGAATTCAGTTTCCAAGGAAAGCAAAAACCATTGAGGCACTTTTGAAGGAATATAATGGGAATTTGCGTTCTATAATGTCAAATCTCTTGCTTGCCGCACTTTTTTTTTTTTAAAGCTACCATTCTCTGTTTCGTAGAGTAAACAAAATTTTTAAATACTGAAAAAGTAGGAAGTAATGTAGTCATCTGACATGTCTGATTTTTAGTTTCTCTTTAGCATATCGATGCATAGCCAGCTGGTCTCATGCACATTCCCTCATGCTGCCCCTTTCCCTCCCAGCAGATGCTTAAAAAAAAAAAAAAAAAAGCTATTGCATTTTAAGGAACAAAATATTTAAGCACTGGTTTGGGAGTAAGGGAATTATTTGAACTCTGTTTAATGTTATTACCACCAGAAACAAGAAAATGTTCTTAAATGAGTATGAGTAAGATCACAAATTCAGCGGAGACGTCAGACTGTTATCTTTCGCTTGGATTTGGCTTTTGTCATTTTGCCAAATCTCACCCAGAAAAAAAAAGTCTTGAATTGCGAGTGTATACTTGACATTTTTTAAAGGAAGATTGAGTTTGATAGCTTTAGGTTGAACTTAAAGCACAAACTTCATATTACTTTCTGAAGGTAATTTATTTTACCATTTTGGAATCGTAGTAGTGCGGAGGAAGCTGCCTTCTGCCGAGCATGCCCATTTGCTATCTTGTAGTGGTTTGTGATGCATTGCATTGTAAGCAGTGACTTAGCAGTTCTGTCTTTCCCGTTTTAGGCACTTACAGACTGAGATACGCACCTCCCCTCCCCCCTTCTAATGATACGTTGGATTCTGCAGACTGAAACAAGTAAAGCTTGACTGCCTAATACCCTGACGTGTTGGGGAGTCATGGTGGGGTGTGGAGGGGAGGAAAGGAAAGGTATTTTTTGTTTGTGTTTCTTTGTCTATACATTTCCTAGATTTCTATGCAGTTGGGATTTTTCATTTCTCTTGTACCGATGTCCAAAACAAAAAAGAATGCATTGCTTTTGAGCCTCTGGTCTCCTGGTTCAACAACAGGCTTATGTGTATGATACATGTAATTTAAACATCCAGACAAACTATCAAAAGGAAAATGTTTGCTGTGCTTTTTTTTTTTTTACACTGAATACTTGCTGTGTGCAATGTTTACTGAATCTTTAAAACTGTGTATTTGACCTTTTTTTACAACACTGGTGACAGTCATATGGTTTTGAAAAAGAGAAACTTTGCTTCTTCCCCACTCTTCTCACTTTCACCCTAAAGGACACACATCTCCCCGCCACCCTCCTTCCAGTGACCTGAGGCAGGGGCAGTTGGCCGCGCATCGGTCTGCGCTTTCATGACCCGTCCTCCCTGTAAGTCGAGGGTGAAATGTTTCACCTTAATCCGAAAGGAGACATCAAGTTCCCTGAATTGTGTGTATGTATGTACTAAACAGCATCACGTAAACACAGATATGCAGTGCTTGTGGTCCAAATCAAAATTAAAGTAAGTGGAAGAGAGAGGAAGAAGTAAAACCATATGAAACTGAAAAAATATGATGTCTGAAGTGGACAAAGAGCTTTTTCTTAAAAAAACAAACAAAAAACAAAAAAAGCCAAAAAAAAAAAAAAAAAACTTTTTACTTCATCATACTTTTTTAGCCTGTTGCTTCAGAGAGACTTAAAGTGAACAAACTAGTGTGAGTGTTGTTCTGTGTGTCTGTGTGTGTAATGAAAGTCGACAGCCGATTTCACTTGTAGTCTACCACTGTGTCGTGCTAAAGAGACACTACCTGAGTAAAGATTTCTTCTTTTCTCACACCAACTGTAGCAGTGTTATGTTGTGTTTAAAATGTGTATGGTTTATTGCAATCTGAGCAGGAGCTCTGGCTTCTGCAAAAGTCAGGTTTGTTCCCTAACCCGTCTCTCGTAGCAAAGTCACTTTGATAAGTTTACCACTATGCTTGATTATAATGTGAAAGACTGAATTCTGAGTGTGTTAAGATGGTATTAATCATGTCAGTGTCATGTCACTAAGTTTAATGCTGCTGTTTAAAAAAAAAAAAAAAGTTTTTTTAAAGCCAATCTATGTACTAAATTGCTTCCAGGTAATTTTTGATTTCCTAAAGTGCACTGAGATTATCTGGAAGATTGGGTGTATTTTTGGAACTGCTGCATTCAAAAGCAATGAGCAACTACCACTGTATAGTCCTAGGTTAAGGGTCGGGGCTGGTTTTGTTTTCCCATTCCTCAGTACAGAGCAGAAATGATAGATTTTTGTTGTGTGGAGTAATGTCGGTGTACAGCGGAGGGACTTAAGTGTTTGGTCTTGGTTCAGAAGCCTAACAGATTGCTAGATAAAAGGAAAAACTTGAAGAAAAAAGGAAGCTTCATTTAATGCTTCATAGGTAGCATTTATATTTATAGCAGCAATGTACATTTTGAAACTAACTTTCAGGGTGGGAGTTAAAGGGGAAAGGGGCGGGGATGAAGGGGTAGATGAAAGCTTTAATTTAAAAAGAGAAGTTCGAGTAAAGGAAATTATTTTGATTAAATATATTTTATTTGATCTGGGTATTTTTGGACCACATTATTAAATTAATTGTTAAGCTGCAGTTGAGTTGTTCTAGTGAGAGTTTTGATAAGCCACGTATGGACCGCATTGTGAATCACTTGCCAGTTGTACTTTATGGAGCTTATTTTATGATTTAAAATACTGTACTGTACATAGGAGGTATGTTACCTTCTCCTTATTTGTATGTTTACCATATACTTTGATATTTGAAATGTTATGTACTGGAAAGGCCACTTATATTTCTAGAACAGATTGGATTTTATGCAACCCTTTTTCCTTGAATTAACAGCAATAAAAAAATGAAAAACAGCTTAAGAATTGTGGTTTATTGCAAATTTTGTAAAAGTGAAGGAGGAGGACATCACACATGGTGATTTGTTTTTTCTTTTTAGAGACTCAACCCATTATCCCCTGTAATGTGGGGCAGTGAATTACGAAGTTTTGTTTTTTTACCATATGGATGTTCTTCAGCCCCCCCCCCGCCCCGCCCCTGCACCGACAGCCCCGCCCTGTAGGCCGCTCGGGTCGCTGAGCGACTGTGTTTCTGTCCCGCGCGCTGTGCGCCACTTCCGGTGGCGGCTCCCGTCACCGGAAGTATGGAGGACCCGATTTACTCTCGCAGGCTTATGACGATTGTGTTTTCCAGGCAGCTCTCAGTACAGTATCGAGTGGCTTTGATCCCCCCGGTTCTGTCTTCTCTGACCCAGCCTCTGGTCCGTCTTTACACACCGAGCAACTTCTGGGGAGGCGCCAGCCTCGCGTGCGTGCGCAGTTGAGCCACGTCTGGCGGCCGCGACTCGGCCCCGTCGCTGCGCCCAGGCCCCTCCGCGTGTCCGCCAGCGCTCGCAGCGGCGGACGCGCAGGGGCTCGGGCGCGCACGGCAGGGAACGACTGCGGCGCCGGCCCGCGAATGTTCCCCCCGGGCCCGTTCGGGCGGCGGGTTGGAACCGGCCGCAGGGCCCCTGGTGGTTTGCGGAGCGCCGCGCGGGCCCTCGGAAGGAACCGCCTTCCGGTTAGTGTGCAGGCCGCCGTGCCACCACCTGTGTCCCCTGCCCGTCCCTTCGCCCTCCTGCCTCCGCAGCGCACTGCCCGAAGCTTGCTCGTTCTCGCGCTTTTCCCTCACGTCTCCCCTCCTGCTCCCGCCACGCCGCGTGTTACCCTGAGCTTTACGGAAAGGACGGCTCGTGCGTAGTCTTCTGTGACTGTCCCTGCTCTTCGGCTTTGCGACCCTCAAGTTACATTCCCGCAGTTTAGTCATTTTCACTCCCTTTACAGTGTTCCATTGCGCTGGGGGGCGGGGATACGCACAGTTTATCCATTCTGTCCCCGTTTGGGTGGTTTTCATTTCTTTGCTCTCAGCAGGAGCGTTTTGACACCAGCCTCCTGGTTCATGTGGGCGAGAGTTCTCTAGGCTTTAAGTCCAGGAGTGCACGTGCGGGCTGTTAAGACCTCCTAAAGCCCTCAGTTTTCCAGGATTTGCCAGATTGTTTTGCGAGTGCTTTGCGCTCACGCGGACCGCATCTGATCCCCCAGCCCGTAGCCCGACACCCTCCTGAACGGACGTGATGGTGCCACGGAAGGCTTGGCACGGGAGAGGCGCGCGAACCTTGGCTCTGTGCGGGAAGGGGGTGTGGAGAGGGCCGGGGCTGGGGGTCCGTGCGGGGGAGGCACAGGACTGCAAGCGACCGTGTTTGGTGGCTCGGGAGGTCGAGGTCGGAGGAGGTGATGAAGGCAGGTGCAGGAGAGGCAACATTCTAAAAGAGTTGTGACGTTTGTGTTTCAAGAGGTAAACCAGAGTCAGGCTGGAGATTCTGAGGTTGATGGAATGAAAAATTGGAAGTTACCAAGCCTTAAATGGAGGAGGAACATGTTGACGATGGTATTTAAAGAAACTTGGATGGTTGAGGCAAGAAGGTTTGGCCGTTTGGAGACTGGTTAGGGTGCGGGTGAGGCAGTGGGACAAGCAGGGATGGAGGAGGCAAGTGGAAGGAGCCTTGGGCCTCTGAGCTTCATTTTCCCCAGATAGAAAATGAGATGGTATTTTAAATTATGGCCGTGAGGGATAAATGGATGAATACATGCGGAAAGTCCAACATTATGAATTAGCACCAAGAAGGCACTCGGATGTCATTGAATTTGCTTTTGATGAACAGGAGGATTGAGGTTACTGGTCAATAGACTGGAAAATGGGGAAGAGACCTGAGTCTAGGAGGAGGGCAGTGGGTGGTGAAGAACCTGGCAAACAGTTCTGCCTTATGTTAAGGTTAGTTACTTCAGATCTGTCCACTGATAAAAAACAAAATATTCCTTGTCCTCAAAAATCAACTCTCGTTGGAGAGCTTACCAAATTATGGCAGCCCTGAGCTGAGTGGCGCAGCCCGATTATTCGACACTGGAGTAGAAGAAGTACATTACAAGGCAAATCCACATTTAACTTTTTATGTAAGTGCTAAAAATCAAATTTTTCTGAGGTTCCATAAAGATTAAAGCACAGTGTAAAGTAATCTTTTTTTTTTTTTTTTCCCCGACAGGTAGCATCTAGTACTTAAGAGCATCATCCATTTGAGCTTGGAAGACACCTTTTTTCAATTCTACATACTGATTACAAAAGCGCTCTAAGGTTAAGGCAGTGAAACCAAATGGAGGCAAGCTGGGACAATAGTTCAACCCCATAACCCTTCCATCACTTCATCTCAAAAGAATAAAGAAAAATGCTGACTTTCCCCACCCTGGCCACCGCACAGGAGGGCCCATTTATTTTCAGGGACATGTGGTGTGGGGAGTGAGGAAAACATGGTCATCATATCTCTGGACCTTCCTTTTGGGGGTGGGGGAGGCTGGCAGGGGGGGCCAGCTATTATGAGAATGAAAGACTCTAGGGTGCAAGGGCTGAGAGGCAGGCGTCCATTCGGGGGTACCCTTTACATTAACCATGCACAGAGGGCAGTGCTGTCCTTTCCCAGAGAACGCCTGTTAGCACATTGGCTTCCAGGGTTTGGATTCTGAAGGTCAGTCTAACATCAGCATTTCATCACTGCTTACAAATCACAGCTATTGTGCCCGTAACGTACAAAAGTGACTTTCTTTGCCATATCTTGAGAAGGTGACCTAATTGTTAAATCCCTTTTTTGAAAAATGTGAGCCCTCTGGATTGGAGCGTGGGTACATGTTTGCCTGAAGTCCGCGTGTGTTTGCAAATGTCTGTCCATCCTGGGGGCACAGGGGCTGTAGGCTTCCTCTTGGCTGCTCTGGAAAGTGGAGCATATCACAGGTGGGGGCATCAAAGACCCTCCGTTCCCACAGTCTACCCCTTTGGGCAGTGACTGCAGTTCTCTGTCACCGGAGCTCTTATCCCAAGATCCCGTTTTGCTAACTTGAAATTTGGGTGGGGTAAGGGGGTGTGGTGGGGGGCCGGGTGGTTCTTCATTTTTTTTTTTTTTTCTTTTTCCTCTTGCAGCTCCAACTTGATCTGCTGTAAAAGGAGGTCTCAGCCAGGCTCTCACCAAAGAAATTGCTAATTGGGAAGCAGCGCCACCTGGTGGGGGACGAGGACAATGCAAGCAAGCAGATGTTCTTTCTCACTGACGTAATTTAGAGAACATTGAACGTAAGACAGAAAACATTTGAGATCGTAAGCCTGTGCCCCAAACCTTAAAGAACGCAGGCAGCTGGCCATAAAAGTAATTTGAGCAATCTCCTCTTTCAGTCATCGCATTCAAAGTTTATTATAAACCTCTGAAACGCACCAGTGGTACCTGATGGTTTCCTCTGCACTCTTCCCCCCCGTGCTCGTTCGTCAGCACAATGTGGAGGGTATGGGATCTTCCTCTTTCCCATCTCACAGATTCGGAACTCGGGGTTCAGAAGGGGTGAGTGCCGCAGACACACCAATGATGAAGACCAGGCCCCAGCTTCAGATTCATGCTTTACCTCCTGTACCGCTTCCCCCCCACCACAGGTGCTTGCCCACAGAACCTGTTAAGCCCTGTAAAATGAGAGACCCCTGGTCTTAACAACCTTGGGGCCTCTGGATTTCTGAAAGAGGATGGGGCCGGGGTCCTAGTGGGTCCGAACGTCTCTTTTCTGTGTCTCGTTGAGGGACTTGAAGATGTAGGATGAGGGAAAGTTTGCAGAGATGGGAAACCCCGGGACTTTCAGAACTAGCTTCTAAGCATTTGCCTGTCTCAGATACATTCAAGGAGCAGCGACTCTCACCTACATCCGGGGTTTTAAACATGCACAAATATCCTCTGTTGGAACACTGAGTTTTTCATTATTCTCAGGTGTCCCGATAAATTGAGCATTATGTGAATATTCCATTAGTTGTAAGCTTACAGAACTTCAGAAATAGCCGAAATGAAGTGGCAGGGCAAGCAGAAAAGACACGTAACTGCTGGTATGTTGAAGGCTCCCAACATGTAGACCATCCCAAGCACTCCCTCTACCAGCTACCATCATTCACAAACAATCCAAAGGCCAAGAATGACGGCAGCAAGGTCACCTCCAGGCAGGAACAGTGACGGTCACACCCACCCCGAAAGCCTTCCTAAATGCTAAGAATGCCACCACGTTACCTAGTAGTTACTCAGTGCTCATCCTTGCTAGCACATCAGGGTTGGGTCATGTTTGTAAGTAACATGGTCACTCCGTTGTGTACTGGATGCCTTCATCACATGAACTTGGGGAAGAGGTGACATCCACCATAATTCCATTCCCGGCACCCACCCACAGTACACATGACTTTTCTCGGGCTTATTTACAGAACGGAGAAAACAGTTAACTCTAAGACAGTTACAAGGATCACACTGGCAAAATACATAGAGCACTCAATGTCTGACATAGTAGGTACTCAAATTCATAATGGTAGCCAATACCTTAATGCCCATGAGAGGCCAAGATACCCTTAGCTCATTTCAGCATCCAGCAACCCTGTGAGGTAGGTATTTTGCCCCGTTTTAACAGTTGAGGAAATGGCACAAGGACGAAGCATCCAAGGGCACAGAGCAATTAAGTGACAAACTAGGTTGGAACCCGTGGCTCTTACCCACTGGGCTACTCCTCTTCTTTGTGCCCATGTCACAGGATTTTTGTAGGCATGTCCATGTGATGGTTCAGAGCTTCCAGTGATGGGATCAGGCCAGTGGGACTCGCAGGCAGGCTCTGCCTTAAACTCCGTCATCTTGAACAACCGGCCCTTCTGGACCTTTTTTTACCTGAAAGCTGAGTGCTTGGTTGGTAGTAGAAATTGAACTAAATGATCTCAAAATTCTGTGACTTGAAGCTTGCTTTTTCACTTTTAAAAGGTTTAT